AGCATTGTCAAACTCTTTTCCTCCTGCCCCCGTGCTGGCTGGACGCTGGCCAGAGCTGTTTGCAGCTGAGACCCTTCTGGGAACTGAGCAGGTGGAGCTGGGGGACTGGAGGTCCGTGTGGAGGTCTGTGAAGCCTTGACCAGGGGCCTCCTGGTGAGCACTCACTATTTTCTGCGAGCAGAAGTAACATTTTATTCAGGGCCTGGTAACTGATCCACCTTTCACCCAGGGCCCTGAGGGGAAGTGGGGGGATTTGCAAAGAAAATATGTGTGTTTGGCCTCAAGGTCCCTGAGAGCCAGGGTCTGTCTGTGCACCTGTGTCTGGAGGAGCCCTGTGCTGTGACTGCCTGAGGGGAAATGCCACCTCCCTTAATAGGATCCAAACAGACGCCTGTTAGGCTGTGATGGGAAGGAGCCTTTCCCAGAGGAAGAGACTCACAGTCCCCCTGCACTCCAGCGATTTCCCTCTCCCGGCGGCTCTGCTGGCCTTGGTGGCACAGGCAGTTAGGCACTGGCTGACAACAGAGAAGATGTCAGTTTGACGTCAGTTTCCACTACAGATGCCTTCCTGGGCCTTGCTTTCCGTTTGTTCATGCTTATACCTCCTGTGGAAGGAGTCTCTGGGTGGTTGATGCGGCTAACTGGAAAGTTCGAGGTGCCAGTCACTCAAGGCCAACTCAGAAGAAAGGCCTGGCGATCTGCCCCCAGAATACCTAACATGTGTGAGATCACAACCATAGGGAGCTCTCTGGGCGCAGGACAGAGGGCTTTGCACTGTTGACCCAGAGCCCCCACCCCTCCAGCAGTACAGAGCCAAAGGAGAAAGTGGGCAGTCCCATCCCATGCTGCTCCCAGCTTGGAAACCCAGTGCAGGGTCAGCTTTGAATCGAACTTGACCTGATGACAGTGAGGAGAGAGACTGGTGCACATGGGGTCACCACGAGCTAGCAACAACTTGGCGGCCGTGGTTACTGGTTCACAACCGTGGTTACTGGTTAGTTCACAGCCGTGGCTACTGGTTCACAGCCATGGTTACTGGTTAGTTCACAGCCGTGGTTAGTGGTTCACAGCTGTGGTTACTGGTTAGTTCACAGCCATAGTTACTGGTTAGTTCACAGCCATGGTTACTGGTTAGTTCACAGCCGTGGTTACTGG